CTACTTATACGGTCTCGCTCTAGAAGATCCAATACGATGGTAGTTAAACCGGTGTGAACCACCCCTATCTTCGGAATATCATAGGGCACTTCTGCTTTGTAGGATCCTTCGATATGCAGCTCCATTTCGAGACCCTGGAGTCACTGTAGTACCCAGTTTGAATTGGTGGGCTTACTCCCACCTCCGATGAATTGGTTCTTGCATAGTCCCGATGCAACAGCGAATATACTAAGTTAAGCTTTTGCACTTGGAAATGCAGTATGTTCTGGATGAGACGCCCCGTTCGTCTAATCGCTGTAGTGGGTTACTTCCTGTTGTCGTTTGATTGCAGCGCTTCGAGCGTAGTCCGAACGTCAATTTGCATACTGGACGACCACTGCTTGTCGTTGTCCTACATTCGCTCTACTCAGTCTACTCAATCGCCGGTCATTCGTGTGAATCTTCTGCTTTCTCAATGGGGAAGAGCTTGGGGAAGAGCTGAAGTTGGTGGTAGGACCGAGCCCGAGCAAATCCCTACCTAGCCTTCCACTATGGGTCAAGCTTATTTCAATGAGGCTTCGTTAACCTTACAGGTTCCCGGGGATAACGTCGCGGACCTCTAGCTTTAGTACAAGACGAAGTGCCATCCTCATGTCACTCATGAGGATGGCACTTCGTCTTTACTGCATTCCACAGCGTTCTTTACAGTCTCTCACCCTCTTTTGCTCCTTAACTAACTCCGGAACGAGCCCGGGAGTGGTCACTGTATTCTAAGAAACGGCACCTTTTCCTTGGGAAGTAAGTTAGCTTGAATAGGTTCCCCCGTCGGGTAAGTACCTTAAGCCTCTCCTGATGCTAATCCTTTCAGCAGTCATCTTAGAGGGATAGAGGGCGAGACTCTATCACTGAGGGATTCTGCTAATTTTCGACTAATTGGGGATATTTTCGTAAGCCATACGTTAACACTTACTCTCCCAAATTAAATCTGAACGATCCGAAAAGGCGTAAGGGTTTCCGGAAGGCGTAATTGAATGAACGACGACAGCACATGGCAGCAGGTGCTTGTCGTCTCTTTTATGCTC